AGTTTTCACATACTTGGATTTTTTGTTAGTGGCTATCTGAGTGGGTCTGGGGTTGATATTTCACTGTAGATTTGATGTTGATTGGAGAGGAAGCTATTTTAAGGAATTAACTAATGATCATGGAGACTTGGGTATCAAAAATTTGCATGGGAAGCCAGGTGCCAGTGACTCACACCTGTAATCCCAGCTACTTGGGAGGCCAGGATTGGGAGGATCACAGTTTGAGGCCAGCCTGGACAAACAGTTTGTAAGACCCTCATCTCCAAAATAACTGGAGCAAAATAGACTGGAGATGTGACTGAAATGGTACAGCACCTGCTTTGCAACCATGAAGCCTTGAGTTCAAATCCCAGTCCACCCAATCAATCAAGTAATTAGTCAATCAATCAATCTGCATAGTAGTTGTGCAGGCTGAATACCTACAGAAGAGCCAGTGTTGCAGCTCCAGCCTGAGGCCTGTTGGTTGGTAGAATTCTCTTTCTTGAGGACTCATTCTTGGAAGCCTTCAACTGATTGGATAGGGCCCATCCATATTATGGAAGACACTATACGTACTCCATGTCTACTGACCTGTTAATCTCTTCTAAAACAACATATGACCAGGTAATCTGGGTCCCCTGCCTTAGCCAACTTGACACATCAAATTAACCACCACAGGCAGCTGCATTTTCTTGTGACTGACTTCCTAATCCAGCCCCATGTCTATAGAGAGCCACTTTTCTCCTTGTTGGAGAACAAGTGACATTGATGGCAGCAGTGTACCACTTTGTTCATAGAAAGCATGTAGGATATTAGATGTTTTGTGTCTGTCACATGACATCAAGTTTCATGGTCATTTCCAGGCTCAGCGGAGTTTCCAAAGAGGAGCCCCATTTCCCTTCTTGGTCACTTCTGTCGCTCAGCTGCCATTTCTGTGGCTGACTTGTGTCGCCAGAGCTCGAAGGGTTCAGACAGTCTACTTCTCGCACTCACCTTTCCTTCCTAATTCCTCTACCCGGTGACTAGGTGCCCTCTACGTGGTGGGGCCGCACCAAATGCTTTCCTGGATGGCATCCTTTGCCTTCTGCCTCTCTCGATGTGGGCTTGTGGGTACACCTGGTGGCTTTGATGCCAGCCGTTGAGGATGTGGTTGAGTCAGGAAAGTGCAGCCTTCAAGACTGGGGGAGAGCCGGGTGCTGATGTCTCACACCTATAATCCTAGCTACTCAGGAGGCTGAGATCAGGAGGATTGAGGTTCAAAACCAGCCCAGGCAAATAATTCCACGAGACCCTCTCTCAAAAAAAACCCTCCACAAAAAAGGGCTGGCGCAGTGGCTCAAGGTGTAGGCCCTGAGTTCAAACCCCAGTACCACAAAAAAAAAAAAAAAAAAGACTGAGGAGAGATATGCTAATTCTGTAAGCGAAGGGATGATGACACATTAGGACATGTTCACAGTTTACAAGTTAGATACTCAAAGACACCAAAGGCCACTATTTTGTACCTGGCAGCCAGAGTCGAGTTGAGGATCCAGAAGGCCCTGCAGATGAGCTGCACAGTGACACTCATAAAAACCACAGGATTCTGACAAACCTGAGCACGCACAGGTGTGCCTCCCCTTCCCAGTCATTTTAAGGTCCTGGATTCTGCTTCTACCATGAGATGGTAGAGCAACAAGCGAGGTCAGGATGCAGGGAGACTACAGGGCCTAGCTTTGCTAAGCACTGGTATGGCCAAAGGTTAGGATTGGCCTCTCTCTGTTGGGGTTCTGCTAACACTCCAGGGAGCCACCACCCAGGCTGGTGTCCTGTCCAGATTCATAGCCAGGACACTGGGAGGTCTTTCACCTTCCCTCCAGCCATATTAACCCAGGTGGGGGATGGAGTTGTGTCTGCTGGCATGCACCCCACTTTGGGAATCCCCCTGGTCTGGCCCTAGAGCAGGAGTGCTTTGTGGTTAGAGCCTTCCTGCTTGGCCAAGGGGCTAGGTGGAATTTTGGGGGGTGGGAGTAGTAGGGATTGAACTCAGAGCCTATGCTTGCTAGGCAAAGTCTCTGCCACGTGAGCCACGCCCCCAATCCTTTTTGCTTTAGTTTGGTTTTGATAAGGTCTTGTGCTTCTGCCCCGGCCTGTCTCTGACTGTGATCCTCCTAGCTCTGCTTCTGGATTATAGGCATCACTAACCATGCCCGGATCGTGGACTGGAGATTGCCTGGCTGGGGAAATTTGGTGGAGTTTGAACAAAGGTGCATTTCCAAATCTAAACCACTATTTGGGAAGAAGGGAGTCAGTGGGAAGAGTGACAAGAGAGGGCAATGGGGGTGAATATAACCAAGGTACATTGTATACATGAATGAATATGTCATAAGGACACCTGCAGAAAGGCACAAAAATAAGGAAAACAAAAGGCGCTCTCGCTGCTTTTCAGACTTGCTGCATGACAGAGGGCAAGTGATATCACCTCTCCAGGCCCAGGTTTCCCTCACCTGTGAGGAAAGAAAAGAGTTCAATACATGGACGCTGCCAGAAGTTTCTGGCGCATGGTTGTCCTCACCATAATCACCATCACCACCACCATCTATAGGAATGGGAGGTGAGTGGACCCTTGCACATCAGTCCTGTCTGCCAGGTGCGGCACATTCCGATATGTGGTTCAGACCCACTGGCTGAGGGACAGCAGGCCACAGCAAGGAAAGTGCTTCGGCCTCATCTCCCAGGGGCAGGACCTGGACTGTCTTCCATTGTCTGCACCTGTGGCCTGTGAGGCCTCTCTCCTTCCACCATCCACACGCCAGCAACCTTCCCGTGCTCCTCTTCTGCCCTGGTGGCCGCTGGCTTTCTGCCGGGAAGTCATGTGGGGATCAATCACTGCCCAAGCCTACTTCCTGAGTTTCAACTTCAGTTGTCCATCTGTCTATCCATCCAGCTTACTCTGAGCATCTTCTATGTGTCAGGCAATAAATTAAGAGAGTTTAAAAAAAAAAAACCAAACTCTAATGGGCAGATTCTATGCAAAATAATGCAAAATCTCCTATTTCTAACTACTGTGTTCAAACTGTCTGGGACCGCTTGCATGGAGAGGCAAATTGTCCTTGGCTGGGCCAAGGGTAGAGTCTGGGGCCCTGTGGGGAGGGTCCGAGTTAATATAAAGTTCTAGAAGCTGGGTGCGTCATCATCCAGGGTATATAAAGAGAATAGAGAATTTGAAGGGAAAGTGAAGGCAGATTAGATAGTACCTCTCCTTTTCATGTGGCCCTGGAAGGTTCTGTCTTGCTTAATCCTCTCAGGAAGGCTGGAGCTAGACACAGTGCTTTTCACAGTTTTACAGATGGAGAAACAGGTGTAGAGAGGCGATGTGAGTCATGCCCAGGTAACATGGCCTGTGCACAGCCTAGCAGTTTGTTTTTTTGTGGTGCTGGGTTTTGAACTCAGGGCCACTCCACCAGCCATTTTATGTGAAAGGATTTTTGGAGATAGGGGCTCATTTACTATTTGTCCCAGCTGGCTTTGAACTGCAGTCCTCCTGATGTCTGCCTCCTGAGTAGCTAGGATTACAGGCATGAGCCACTGGTGCCCAGCTGGCCTAGCACTTCTCATTTCTGAAGTCTCCTGTGACTTACTGATTGATTCCTGGCCACTTTGACCCATGAAAGGGCAGCACAGAGGCCCCTATCCCAGATCCCAGAGAGTGTTTCCTACTTTACCAGGGGAAGAACCTGTTCCAGGCCAGGAGGCTTGGCTTACAAGACGGTGTGGTACATTTTCCTTTCTCAGTTGCAAGGACCAGAGGCTATTAAAATAATGGCCCAAAGAAGGCACCTCCAGAAACAGGTGCTCAAAGTAGGCATGTCTGTGCTGCGTGCTCACATGTACGAGCTGAGCTAGAGCAGCTGCCTGACTTTCAGGCTCCGGATGGAAGATGGGACCCGAGGGACCTCCCCGTGTGCCCCCATCACCCTGGATCACCACCCAAGTAATGAGCCAATTCCCACCATCAGCCCGAGAGCCCACCACTGTCCTTCCACCCTCCCTGGCCAGCTTTCAGAAGAGGATTTACAGTGACCTGGTAAAAATGAGGCATCATGATCAATGGATCCCTGGCCTGTCTCCTCCAGGAGACACCAATGTGCATTGTAACAAAACTTTATTTTCTTCTTGAAAATTGCCTATGTGATTAATATGGCCTGACACAGCGCAAGCTGTTCAGCATGAAAAACAGCTGTATTTCTCTCTCCCTCCCTCTTCAGCCGCGTCCCTCTCGCTCCAGCCCTTCTCTTGTCTCCTTCGTTTGGCTCCCTCCCACATCATGCTGGGAGAATGCGTTCCATCTCTGGACTCCATTCTGTTTTGCTTCTGTTTGGTTCTTTCATGTGGCTGAGACTGAGCAAACAATAAAACTCCCCAGAGTGTGCTGGTCAGAGGGTGCGCGTTTCTGGGACTGTGCAATTCAGAGCAGGTTCCCTGGGAATTTGGAGCCCCCCGAGAGGGCCAAAGCTTTGAGCTTCTGCCTCCCACCTGGGGGAGCAGTAGTCTTCCTCGATCGCTGCTGCGTTGAGGACGGGAGGGTTGCAGGATATGGGCAGTAGAGGCTGCAGGAAGCCCCGTCCCCTGCACCAGGGAGATTCTGGGAAGCTTTGCAGTGGAGCGGGCGTGAGGCAGCCATTCCTCTATTCTGACCATTGGTGCTTGTGTTTAATTCCCTGTCCTGGAACTGTGGCTCGGTGAGCTCAGGGGACTCTAGTACAAGTAGCTGATTTGAAAGAGAGTCCCACTAGGGGAGGAAGAGATGCCCCCCAAGGGGTGTGTTATGCACGTTGCTATTGTGGGTGAGGGGGCTTCTTCCCACTGGGGGAACTTAGAGTGGGGGGAGGGAGCCAGGATATTTTATACCCCATCTCCCAGGGATGTTTACGTGGGATCTTTAGAGGGTGGGTAATTGCTTTGGTGGCAGCAAAGAAGGTTCTAGATGAGGCAATGCTGGTGCTGGGAGTGGGAGGTTGGGCGGGTGTGCTTTCAAGGAAGCACCAGGAGAAATGGGGGTGGAGGTGATAGAGCCAGGTAGATGTGTGCCCCACACTGGGGCTTTCCCTTCCTTTGGGGTGGTAAATTTGGGGAAGGAAGAGCTGGCCCCCTTAATGCTGTCCTCCCTAGGTTTCATCCTCTGTTCCTAGCCAAGGACAGCCAGGAGGGAAGTGGCGATTCTTATGCTGGAGGACCTGCGTGAGGGAGGAGTCGGATGCAGTCCTGGGTCCTGGTGCAGCCCGTGGCCTCTGGCTTCCTCTAACTCTGCTTTCCCGGTCTGCCTCAGGTGTAAGGAGCTCAAGTACGGCAAGGAGCTGCCTCAGATCTCCATCATCTTTATCTTTGTGAACGAGGCCCTGTCGGTGATCCTGAGGTCAGTCCACAGTGCTGTCAACCACACGCCAACACACCTGCTAAAGGAGATCATCCTGGTAGATGACAACAGCGATGAAGGTATGGGTGTTGAAATGACACTTTCACTGCCTGGGTGTCCATGCTGTCTGCTCCCTGTCACATAGCTGGGGAAAGGGACATATTTTCGAGGAAGAAGTTAATATTCTTCAAGACCTCCTGGTTCTTTTAACAATAAGTTACTGGAATCAGGTATGGTGGTACACACCTGTAATCCCAACACTGAGGAGACTGAGGCAGGAAGATGGTGAGTTCCAGACCAGCCTGGGCTACATAGGGAGACCCTGCATCAAAAAAAAAAAAAAAATCACTGAGTATGAATCTATCAGTTTTCCTGTTCCATTACCTAAAGCAGATGAATCGGGAAGGGCTGAATTCCTCTCTCACCACCTCTTACCTCTGTCTCTATTGTTCTTTTGAAACTCTGTCCTGTGCTGGGAATTCCTCACTGGACAAGAGAGCCAAATGAAGGTAGATCAAAACGAGCAGTGTTGTGGAATTCAGCACTAACAGAAACAATGGATCCATTAAAAACACACAACAAGCAAATGTCGGATGGTGATAACAAACTCATAGGAGGTCCTGGGAGGCTGTCAGACGAAGGCGTGGTGTTGAGGTGTGGTAGAGGTGTACATTATAACTGTGCCTTTGTATTGGCTCCCAGCCTAGAAAATTCACTGTGCTCCCTGCAGGGAGAAACCTGGACACACTCAGCAGGACACTAAGCCCTTATTCTCTGAGGGGGTCTCTGCCAGGGGGTCAGGAGGAGGTAATGCCGAGTCCTGTTTGCAACCTGATTATCTTCACGAGCTTCGGTCTGAATCAGCTCAGAAGGTGAAAGGAACCCAGTGCCCCAAGGGCTTGAGTTTCCCGGGCCGGGCCGGGCCGGGCAGTCTGCCTTTCCAGGGCCTCCAGTGTGTGTGCACTGGAGTCTGGTAGATTTTCACATCCCTGTTTTTCTCCCTTTATCTTGGGCTGTTTCCTTAGATGTAAATTCTTTTTTTTAAATTATTATTTATTTGGTGTACAGGGGATTATACTGACAGTTCTGATTAGGCTTATATGGCAGATTAGTTACATCACCCCCATCGTCTCTTCCCCTTGCCACCTCCCCACCCCACTTAAAGCAATTGCAAGAGGTTTCTTTGTTCTATATAAGTCCATCCACCACATTCCCTCACCTTCATCTCCTTCATTCCCCCTCCCACAAGTACACCCCCCACACTGTACGTATGTCACAGTCCCATCTTTCATTATTAATATCTAAGTTGATGTTCAAAGGCATTTCTCGATGTGACCCCGCTGTGAGTCTACTTTACTTTGGTCCATTCAGCCCCTCCCATTGCTCTCCCTCACCCCTTCACCTCCCACCCCCCATTTCACCAGCTTTCAGTGCACATCCTTACGTCCTCCACCTCCACAGATGTGATGTTTCATGACATCACTGATGCTCTGTCGTTCTCTTCCCTTCCCCTCCTCCCCGAGTTCCACGGAGCAGATCCACTGTTACACACGTAGTCTGTGTAGACTATATATAGAACGTGCGTTATAGTGCACTTGCTCTTTCTGTAGATTCTTCTGAGCCTGACACTAGTGGTCTTCTTGCAAGAGGAAAATTCTTTCAGTTCCTGGAAAACTCTGAATCCTGCAGCAAAGTCTCCCTCCCTGGTGTGGTTCACGGTGCCCTCCTCTGCAGCTGCCCCAACCCGTTGGAACCTCTGCAGACCCCTCATTTCAGCAGTACTGCCAGGTCTCTGCTGTTCCTACTGCCCTCTCTATGTGCTGGCTAACATACCACTCTGTCCCAACCTGTCACCTAGGAGATGTCAGGGTTTTCTGGCATCCTTGTTTGTGCTAGCTGGGCACCTTGCTGCCTATCGACACACCTTCCAGCACACCATCTCCATGGCACTCCATCTTGCACATCTGGACTTCCTGTGCTAGGTACAGCCTTGGTGCGCAGGGCGCAGCTGGTAGTGGGCCTGCAATGAGTCCCATCCTGTGGGGAAGCGAATGATGAAGCTGGTAGGGCTGGAGAAGGGGCCAGTGGCAAAGTGGCCAGAGGTGACCCAGACAAGATCCCAGACAGCAGAGCCAACTTTGCCCCTGGAGGAAGTCTCAGAGCCCAACCAGAACAGGAGGAGGAGGAGGCTTGGCAGACCCAGCCAGTCTCAGCGGGATCCCTGCTCCATATGAGAGACCAGCGTCCCAGGGACAGCTGGACACTAAGTGGGCTCAGTAGGCATTTTAGTTTGGGTCCCCCAGAAGCAGACCTTGAGATGTGAGTGCAAGGGGGTCATTTAAGAGGTGAAAGAGCATGCAGGGAGCACGGGGTGTAAGAATGGGGAGGGAAGCCACCCCAAAACAACACCCACTGTAAGCAGCGCAATCTGAGTACACTGGGGGCCCCAGGAGCGGGTGTGAAGCCACCCTTGGGTGAGCCTGCTGTAGGGAGAGAGAGCTGGGATGTTTGTACACCTTTCCTTCCATCAGATGTGCTAGCATGAGAACCTTCTGGAGCCCCACCCCAGAGCAAGTACTGCTTGAAAAGACCTGGGCTAAGTGAAGAAGGTGAAGATGGGTGATGTACTCTATACAAGAATGAATATAGAATTTTCAAACCTGTTGAAATCACCATAAGAAGGGGACTAAGGTAGAAAGGAGAAAAATGGAAGAGATGAACCAATTCAGGTTATAATACATATATACATGGAAATGTCACAAGGAAACTCCCTGTTCAGCTATCTTAAACAAATAGAAATATCTTTTTTTTTTTTCTTTTACAAAATCGGAGAACAGGAGGGCAGAACAGGTCCTGCCTCAGGGAGAGGTTGGTACCAGTGCAGGGGAGAGGAGGTGAGGAAAGGGTGTGGGAGGGTGAATATGGAGGAAATACTGTGTACACATGTATGAAAATGGAAAAATGGGACCTATTGAAACTATTCCAGGAATGGGGGGTTAAAGGAGAATGATGGAGGGGTGAATTCAACTATGATATATTGTAAGCACTTTTGTAAATGTCACAGTGCACCCCCACCTAGCACAACCATAAGGAAAAAAAGGTCTGGGTTTGGGCTGAGAATTTGCATGGTATGGGAGCAACACTTTGAGAACCACTAGGTGAACAACCAAACCCACTTGGAAAGTACCATTTCTTTCTTTTCTGTTTTTTGAGCATTACTAGGCTTTGAAGTCAGTACCTCATTCTTGCTAGGCAGGCACTGTACCATTTGAGCCACACCCACCAGTTCTGTTTGCTTTGTTTTTTTTTCAGAGAGGGTCTCCCAGTTTTGCCTGGGCCAGCCTTGGGTCTGGATCCACCTACCTCTGACTCCTGCATAGCTGGGATTACAAGTGTGAGCCACCACACCCAGCACTACTTTTTCAATGGTTCACATTTCAGATCTAAATAAAAATGACTGGTGGTTGAGGGGAAATAGAAGGGAAATGTTCAGTTCAGTCAGATCATGAAGTTAATTCTTCTTCATCCTTTTTCCTCATCCACAAATACTTGGGAGGCCATGGTTGACTATATCAGTGCCATTTATGTTTGTCATTCCCTGCTTCCAGTCTCACTATTTTTTCCAGCCCAGAAATGCCTACCCTTTAACTAGAAGAGGAATTGACTATTTTTTATTGTGTCAAGATATTCTTTGTATCTAGAGTTACCGAGTTTTGTAAAATGTTCTGTGTTTACTTAAAAACTGTACCCCCCCACACACATGGTAATCGTGGAATTGAGTTCCTGCCACACATCAGTTTTGTGTATGTAGCTAGACTATGAGTTTATTTTCTTAAGTGTTTGTGCTAATGGTGTTTTAAAAATCTCCTTCCTGAGTTCTTTTCTAACGTTTGATTTTGGCATCTCGTTGACGTTTCTTTGGTGGCTGCAGGTTTGTGTCTGCACGCCGTTGTTATCAGTGGTGGTTGCTACCTTTATGAAACTCCCCTTTATCTTGAAAGCACAACACACACCCCCTTTTATTTTTTGCCCTGAATTTAGAGCTTCTAACGGTGATATTTCTTCGCTCACATTCTGTCCAAGTTTGATTAAAACATTATTTTGTTCCCGCCTAATAATTTTGTCTTCTGATCTTAAAAATAAGGCATGTTCTTTGTAGAAAGATTTGAACATATCAAAAAGCAAAATATAATTGCAAAACACAAACATCACGAAGACCAACTAGGGGCAACTGCGGATTCATTCACGCCTCATCCACATTTTACAAAGCTCAGATGCTGGAAGGTAAACAAGTTAGGTTCTACTTTTTTCTCCCTCAAATGTAAAACATTACCATTTTCTTTTGATTCTAAAAGTGCCTACAAACATCATTTTAACAAAGTCAGACTGGTCCATTCTTAGGCTATAGGAGAACTCAGGCTGGGCTCAGGGAAGAGGTAGATAAAGCCAGGTGAGTCAGGATCAGTATACAAAGTGAGCCGGGACTGGGGGCTTTCCCTCGTTCTAGAGCACTTTACTTTTTTTGTACTTTTATCATTTGGTTCATTGACTTTGCCTATTGACCATTGACAGTTTTGTGGTTAACTTCCTCAGAAATTGTCAGTCTCTGGTCCTCAGCACCCTGTACTCTGCCTCACAGTGAAATCGCTCAGGCAAAACTGGCCGTGCTCACTTCTCACCAAATCAGTACGGCTTTTGGCCACAGTAGACATTGCTGGGGGTTTCCTGGCTGGGCTTTTTCTCTTCCTGATGCTCCCTCTACCTGCCCTTTGCCACTGCTCTTCCCCTACCTTGGCTCCCTGCTTAAATTAGGGTCACTCGAGCTTCTCAGGATTAGGACACAGAGGCCGTGTTCCTCCACCATGTGTTCTCATGAGCCCCAGAGCCAGGGCTCCAGTCCTGGACAACTCCCTGTCCCCTGAGCTCCCTCTCCTAGGTGGTACCCAAGGTCACTCTGACCCAGCAACTCAGTCAGTCCAGTCATGACTCCGTCCTTCCTGTGGCCCTTGGAAACCTGCCTCTCCTTCACTTCCTGTCGCAGTTATCTCATCTTCAAAGATCTGAAAGCCTTCTCATCCTC